CGGCAGTTTCGGGCCTACCAGGATATGTCGAATCAGTTGTTGGATGCAGGTACAGTGGCTGGTAGTGAACTTGTGGCCACCGGGGCAGACAGGGCAAAGACAGGCGTCGGTGCGGTAGTCGAGCAATGTGAACATGTACGTATTCGTTACAATCATAGCACAGAGCCGGATTGGTGTAGACTCGAAGAGCGATTGAATCTGTTGTGTCTGGCTGTGTCTCGGTTTGAGGTTGGCGGTTTACCCATAACCAGTTGGTAGTAGTATTGGCGCCGGGCCATTGCCGCGATCTCCTTGTTGGACCAACGTTTTGTTGAGTTCTTCCTGGTGTCGTCACAGCGTTGGCGGAGGTGTCCGCCGTATACGTTGAATATTTCTGAGCTGTGATGACGACGATTATTGACGTCCCTGGAAAATTTACATCAAAGCTTGCCCCCAACCTACGTAATATAGTATCCTTGAAAATCTCTGTTGGTGCCCAAGCAATCACTTCCACCTTCGACAGTTTGAATATGTGTCTAAGCAATCACTGCCACCGTCGGCAAGTTTTATATCTGTTTAAACTTGAACCTTTTATACGATCGATATATGTCGTCCGAAAATTACAAGTCAGCTCTGTACCAGTTCTACCCAATATTAGCTTGTAGATTTCCCCTGTAGCATATATTTTAACTGAATTAATCATGTCCACGAGCTCCTGTACTGTGATGACTGGCTAAGCCCTAGATGGACAAAAATATGAAGTTATCCCATGCGTATAGCTGGTCGGTTCAGAACTTGTAGAACCCGGTCGGCACCGGACAAAATTGACATAAGTGCCTCTCAATCGTATGGTCCGTATCCGTCCAGATTGTATCATTGCCTTACGACGAGTCAACCCATAAACGAGAAAAAAAATCGGGGTTTTTTACTTAGTAGCCGAAATAGCAATTTAAACTCCTTAGCCTTTTGTACATATGTCATCAGCCCTAAGTTATCTCTCTGCTTGATAACCCCTTTCATATATTGTATGGTCTTATCCAACGCGGAAATCGATTGTTGAGTCTCAGATAATAAAATGGTCTAGCGTAGTGTAGACCTCTGTTTTAGTATTTCATCCGGTATTAAATCAGAGGAGAACTATGTCGCCACCTCATCAATCTGCAGATGAATTTTAAGCAGTCGTTTCAACAATCGAACACAGGCTTTCTTGTTCACGTAGTAACTTCATTCATCGTGTAACAAAAAAAAATCATAACTAATTGTTTTTAGTTAACTTAACCTGTGAGAAACGTAATGTAATAAATACAGTAGTTCGGTCACTTAAAAATGTGGTCAAAACCAAGTAACACTTAATAAAGGATGTTAAGTCTGAAATAAGTGAACTCAGTCAGAAGTGCCATTGGGAATGGCGCAACTGCCATATTTATTAAACACGATCCTATGTGGAACGAGACTTTTTATACCATCGGGTTTCTATGAAAATACCCGTATCTATGGTTTCGAATGAGTCATCACTTCTGTCTCATTAAATTCTCTATTCCACTAATCGGTCCGGCAAATATTCCCCTAGGTTTGGTCCTCTGGACCGGTCCTAAATTCCTCTGTCAGGTCCGGTCCTTATGTCCGGTCCTAAATTCCTCTATCGGGTCCGGTCCTCATGACCGGTCCTAAATATCCTCCTAGGGTACTATGTCCACATTGGCACTACCAGCCACACGCTCTACTGATCGTCGCGGCCTATGCCGCTTCTTCATTGCCTTCCTGCCTCACGCACGAGGTTTTGGCTGCCGGAATTCAAGTCCCAACTTGACTTGCGGACTCATTGAAACGTTGGTATGCACCAGAATCAGTTCATCTACGCTACATGAGCGCCCAGTTTGAAAGACGCATCTGGTCACAAGTTCATAACCAATGAATATTTCACAACTCATTGGTATGTCCTCCATGACTGCAATAGAAAGAGTGGCCTTTTGCCAAAACATACGCTCCCCCTAGGATGACCATGTACGCCTTCAGGTCCTCCCACGGCACCGAATGTTTGGGCCTTAACGTACCCATACCATCGATACCTTTTAGCGGCGATCTTGCATATTTATCTCTGGCTGTCAAAACGAGCTCACTAAGCATGCGATTCGTAACAAGGTTGGACGTACAACCCGAATCCGCAAACGCCCACATTACCGCCCCATTTCACTTGCGACGTTACTTCTTCTTTGACGCTGCACCCTGACCCCCCGAAACCAGGGGCAGTCTTCTGGTGTGATTTGCCGAGTGGCAAACTGTACAATACAGGTCACCCTCAGATTCCGACGGCTCGGAATACGCACAGCTTCCGCCACGGCTCGCTCGGCTCTTGCCGTGCCCACGCTCACGACTACGTGGGCGTAAGTTGTCTCTCTCACGCTTAGGGTCCTTACCAGATCGCGAGCGCGAACGTCCACGATCTGATTTGGTATCCTCTGATTCAGAATGCCGGTCACGTTGCTCCCTTTCTATGGTACTTCTCCGGAGTTTGCTCTTTTGGAGACTAATATCTTGACTTGGAACGCCGATCACCATTTCGGTCCTTGTTCCCGTCTTCTTTACGTTGCTTTCGAGACTTGTTAATTACATAGTTAAGCTGTGCCTGCCACTGCTGCTGTTGTGTACTCAACTGATGTTACTGACCACCTCCTCCTTTGGTGTTCTGCACACCACGGTTACCACCATCGCCACCTGCCTTCTGACTATTGCCATTCTACGGGCGGCCTTGCTACTGATTGCCGTACGGGCCTTGACCTTGGTGGCAACCCACAAAGATGGGCCGTAAAGTGCCCATGGCTGTTTCAGCCAACTAAGCAAGCGCGGTGGGATTTTCTCAGCGAACCCAGCCGCGGGAAGAATATACTGCGTGTTTCCAAAAATGAGCGTGAAGAACAACTCCATAGACATGATTTGCTCATTCACTACACACACTACTTTCTATAATAGCGCAGGCTCAAAAACTTACTAATGTTATCGTTCACCATCGCCAACGCTGCATACGCTTTGTTGGACCCGTTTTTGAGAACCATACAGAAACGGGATACCTCCTCCGACATTCCTGCTGGCAAGCAGAAATTCGCCAAGTTGATTGCTCTTGAAGCCCGAAACGTCAACGACACCCGGCCGGCGATATTGATGAACCTGTTGTCAACCCTTTCGTTGATGAACTCGGCATGATTTCTGCCGCCATACATTCCGAATGATAGCGGTGGGCTTGATTTAGAGTATAGAGAGGCACAAGTTAGGGAATACAATAGTTGCGCTCCTCTCCACGAGAAGGTGCAGAAGTGTTGGCTTGCTTCGTCTACTAGGAAATGGTGAAATCCTCTTGTGAGATCTAGCTTCGAAAAGAACTGTTCTTCTTGTAGGTTGTGCAGTACCTCTTTTATTTCCGGTAACACAAACTTATCGCGTTCATATTGATAATTGGTCTCGCGTAAGTCGAGGAATGTCCTTACTTTCCTGAGCTCTGTTTATTCTCACCCGTTTGTGGAATATACTTGTGAGGAACAAAGTTGACTTTCGCGTGCCTCATTTGTCTGACATTAATTTCACTTGCAGGTACTATGACTGTGGAGCCTGGTAGGTTGCAATGTACGTCAGGACGTATGTTTGTGTTGGTATCTAAGAGATCTGTAAGTGACTCCCTGAAACCTTCTTGTTCATGCTCAGAGTGCTCTTCATGTGGTGTGAGTAGTGATTCCCTTTTCGCATCTGTTGGTATAAGTGGATCGATTAATCCTGCTATACATATATATATATATATATATATATATATATATATGGTAGAATGTCCATACCGAGAAATATTGGTGTCTTCTTGTCTGGTAAACCCAATACTTCAAAACACTGAGAGGTTTTCCTACCTACATAATTAATGTCACAAATTCAGTTGATCCTGTGCATTGTATTCTTGTATCTGTTTGTGCTAATTGTATATAACCCGGTTGCGCTCTGACGGAGAGATATAGTTCTGTTACTACACTCTTGTCCATGCATGAGCGTTGTGCGCCTGAGTCTGCTAGTGCATTGTATTATTGCCTGTAATTTGTATATCAATGTGTAAACGTTGGTCTCGTGGTGCGGGAAGTAAGGATAAAAGTTGGTAAATTAAATCATTTGCATTTATTAACAACGTTTCTTCATCCGTATATACATTGAGCCTGTCAGGCAGGTCAATCATGTTTGCTTCCTCCCGCCAGTTGTTTCA